ATAATAATAATAATAATAATATCAATCACTTCTAAAGCCCTCGCTCCTTTTGCGGCTTTAGGCGCTACAAAATAAAATGCATAAAAAAAATCGCCAGCTTACACAGTGCCTTGTTTCATAGATATAGGCCCACTAAACGTATAGCAATCCTTTCAAATACAAATACACCAGTCATTTGACAAAAGAACGCATGTATAAAAAGACAATCGAGAATCACTGTGGTTGTTGATCACATTTCATTTGTTGTAAAAAATATCAAACTAGCCAGTAAAATGAGATTAAAATAGATACATGTATATATCCCGGTTTTCTTTTTGTCGTCAATACTATAAACCAACTTGTTCCGCACTGTGACTGGAGCTTTGTGCCTGAACGTTATCTATTCTATTATCTATTTGTGGTGACCGAATTTTGCTATTCAAAAGGCTTTTAAATGGCTGCATCGATCGACATGCGGTTTTCGCCAAAACATTCTTTAGAATATTCTCCAGATCATGACGCCCTTGTTTTTTTCAGTTTTGAGACAGGTTTGCTGCAAAAAGCTAAATTTCTTTATTTCGCCAATCGCTTTTTGTAGGCCGACGCTTCTGTCTCTGTCATTTTTGAAAATCCGGAAGTGATATGTCGCGAGGCGCATTTTATTTTGAGAGTATAGATAATAGATAGACCTTCTCATTTTTTGCATCTCTCAAGATTTATTTCCCCATTCCAGTAGAGTGTAAATATAGTAGGCAAATGATCATTCCTTTAGAATATTCTTCAGATCATGACACCCTTGGTTTTTTCAGTTTTGAGACAGTTTTGCCGCAAAAACCTAAATTTCTTTTTTTTTCGCCGATCGCTTTTGTCTCTGTAATTTTAGAAAATCCGGAAGTGGTATTTCGCGAGGCGCATTTTGTTTTGAGAGTAGTATAGATCTAGACCTTCTCATTTTTTGCATATCTCAAGATTTATTTCCCCATTCCAGTAGAGTGTAAATATAGTAGGCCAATGACTTTTAGTTGATATCATAGCACAGATCATTCCTTTCATCGAAAGGGGGCCCAGCTAGTTAATTTTAGAAATATATCGTCGCCTAAGAACTATTTTGTCCTAAACACCTTCTTTATTTAATTACACTTTGGAAAAATTAGTTCTGAGGCGACGATATTATATTGGCGTTGATTTTTGTCAATAAAATGAGTTTATTGTTTTTCTTTTCCAGCCCAGTTCGGCATGGGTGGCATGGCCGGTGGTATGTCACCTATGGGAGGAATGGGCATGGGTAGCATGATGCTCCCTCTCCTCTCCCGCGGCGGCGGCGGTATGGAAGGTATGTTGGGCCTGATGTTGATGTCTTTTTTGATGCAGCAGGGCGGAGGAGGAGGAGGAGGAGGCTTGGGAGGCTTACCCTTCCCCCTCTTGATGGCCTTGATGCGCGGCGGCGGAAACGAGATGATGCCCCTGCTGTTTTCATTGATGGGTTCACAGGGCGGCGCCGGGGGACTCATGAACAACCCTTTTATGATGATGACGCTCATGCAGCAAGGAGGAGATGCTATGAAAATGATGCCCTACCTTTTGATGCAGAACAACGCTGGCGGCGGTGGCGCGGGAGGTCCAGTTGATCCAACAGGAGGTGCCGGCCCCGCAGGTGGCATGTCATCGATGGCGCCACTTCTGATGAGCGGAGCGATGGGAGCGTAGAAAGAACACCCTCGTTTAACCTTAACAAATAAAAATCCACGCCATCTTAGCCCCCTTTTCTTTTAATCTGTCTATCTGCTGGTCAGTCTCTCGTTTCCACCTTGAGAGCAGGCAGCGTTTCAAGACACAGCTTCAGATCAAGAGTATCACTCATGTTTGTCTAATAGTTTAAGACGTTGAGGGTATATCTTAATATATTCACTTTTGCCAAAAACCAGTTGAAAAGTTTCTGTGAGACCGATTAGGGACATCACAATCGATAATATTTTACCTGAAACACAAGGGACAAACACAGTTCTGAAAGTCCGTAGTCTTGTTTGGCCGGGGGCAATTGGATTTTTAAAAAATTAAGTCTGAAGGTCAGGACAAAAGAAAAACGATGGACCCGAAGGCTACTGGCTCCCTGAAAACTCCCTCTTAAAACTGTCTCTTAAGAACACAGTTATACCACTATTTGTGAAGTTCATGTCCTTTTACGAGAGTTATATTCTGGGCATTCTTCTCCCAGAATTCAACTCTTCATTAAGCTACAACAAATGGCGAGAAAAGGGTTTGTCGTATTCTTATGAGTGTGTCTGTGTGGACCTCTTTGGGAGCGAAAATGTACTTGTTTTACTCTGCACTGTGGTGCTTTCAATAAATGTTGGTTACTGTCTTATGAACATATTCGGTTTGGATGGTTTACTTATAAAAGAGAGGCATATGCAGAAGAAATACGAGTTATAGCTCAAGGTATACCTCGCACCGATGACATTCGCAAACTGTGTTTATTCTAGGATTTCTGGTTTACATTTTTATGTCGGTGCATTGTGAAATTTTGAGTAAAAACTTTGTTTTTTAAAAGTGTGAACGAGAAAGTTACGATACATATTCCAATAAATCATTGCCGTATGGTTATTTTGCTAAAACATAAACCAGACTTAATTTTCTCTTGGCATCGCTTGTAAAATTAGAATTCATTAACTTACACAGTTTGAGATTTTCATTGATGCGATGCATTGAGTACTCTATTCTTATTTAGATATGTAAGGGATGTATTCATTTGTCCAGCATCTTGGAAACGGCAAGGGCATGATATGGACGGGACCATGGCAGAAAATCAGACTGACTGCTGTAGACCTAGATGAAACCATAAGATCACGCCAGTAGGGAGTTCGTGCTTGCGTAGTTTCGTTTTAAAATGTCTAATCGGATCGACTCCAAATTAGAATCGGTGAGAATATTATTGTCTTTCTCGCCATTGCCTGTATGCAGTCTGCTGCACATATACTTAGACACGTGGTCTAGTTACTTCTTGTAACTCTTGGAGTTGGCTACTTATATAAGATCTCAGTCTTGTTAGTCAGCATATATCCATTATCATAATCCCTTGATAATTTTCACTTCTAGGAATACCCCTTCCACCACCCTCTGCCCCCCCACCCCCCCCCCCCACAAAAAAAACCCAACAGGAAATTTCGTTTTGTCTCCTTCAGTAACTGAGAAATACACTGAGGCTTACACTCTTTGAGGTCGCTTTGCCATAAAAGTAAACTTTACGCAATTCTCCCACGGATGATTGAGGTTCGAATCACAAATAGGGTCCAAATTTTTATTTCACTGAAGGGATATACTTTTCCTTACACTATGACCTCTAGGGGTATCAGATGGCCTTCTATCAAACGCGGCCTTTGTTGTGAATGAAGCTGGCATCTATAACCACCACAAGAGCCTTGCATCAACTCTGTTGTGAATGGTGCCGTTTGTGTATATGAGTAGACGTTATGTCTTCTACTTATAGTCTTTACGAAGTTGACCCAAGCACGCTGTGTAAGGATCTCACAAAATTGGGAGGTGTGCTACCAGTATTATCATTCCCAACTTGACAACCATCAAAAGGTACGGGTTGACTCTTCAAGGACTCAGCGGACACGTATCTCCAATCAGCAACAGAACAGAGATATTGTTGTGGCACATTTCGAACCATCACACACAAATCAGAGACACACATTTGCATAATTCGAAGGTGTTGAAGTAGTTGCCTGTCTTTTAATATTTTTGAACAAGAAAATAAATTAAAAATCTGCAAGCTCTTTTAAAAAAAAGAGAGCTCCAGTACAGCGGAGTCTTCAAGAGTTGTCAAATTACCAGAACCCACGTCCTCAAAGGGATAAGAGGCAGAGAAAAAAAAGTAACAAAGTTCAGTCTAGCAGGACACCGTGCTGAGAAGATCTGCTCCAGAAAGGATGAGTAAGATAATTTTTATTCAAACCCACAATGTTTTGATTCCCGAGCTACTATCAGACAGCCAATAAATTCCTTGCTATTTGCATCACAAATCTTTCTGTTAACGTGTCCTGACGAGGGACCACAAACTCTTCCTTAGCAAATGTTTATATTGTAAATTCAATAATAACGAAACAAAAGGAATGCGTTAACATTAAATGTTATTAACCCGGGGTAATTCAGTAGGCTTATCGTCCCATGGACACGAACACATCATTCAGAAAGCTGGTCGCTTCGACCCTGTCTATCGGGGCCCACTCTGGGCTGAGTGGGATACGGCATTCTAGCATCCCAGCAAGCCAGCACCCCAGCATCCCATCACCACATCTTCTCATCATCCCAATATCCCATCACCACATCTTCCCATCATCCTAGTATCCCATCACCACAACTTCCCATCATCCCAGTCTCCCATTACCACATCATCCCAGTATCCCAGCGCCCCATCATCCCATCATCCCAGTAACCCATTATCACATCATCACATCATCCCAGCGCCCCATCATCCCATCATCCCAGTAACCCATCATCCCACCATCCCACCATCCCACTATCCCACCATCCCACCATCCCACCATCCCATCATCCCATCATCTCATCATCCGCTTTGAGCTGGGATCAATATTTCTAACGACACCAGGTCTCAGAACTCATTAGTGGATTAGACTGAACAGGTTTACTTAAAAGCCAAAATGTGACACCCACTCGTTTCTTTATCTTGTTCAACATTTAACACTCTTTAGTAAACACAACAGTGTGTTTCTTAGACAGAACAGCATTGTTTTCTCTCCCATCGTCTCAAAGTGGGACAGAAGCAAAGATACAAAGAGTCTCATTGAGCGAAAAAAAACCAAACCTTTTATACATTTCGAGAGAACAACCCCAAACCTTTTATACATTTCGAGAGAACTGCTAAGTCTCCATATGGTTTACTTCTTTCAAAAAGACATGCGCTTTGGCAGGGCCGATGAATTTAAGAAATCAGCGAATTTGGCACGGTCGAAGCACCTAACATTGCTTTTTGGGGTGTTTTTTAAAAAACTGTTTACTTTTTTGTTTGTTTGTTGAAGGGTTGTTCCAAGAAGTCAGGCGATCACTAAAGTGCAGTCAGTGTGGATCATCACAGCCAGTTGCTATACCCCCCCCCCCAAATCTGAAAACAGCTGGTGTATTTCGTTCAGGTCGGTGTTCACCCAAAAGGTCAGTGACTGAGCGACTGGCTAGAGCGCAGAAAGAACCTGGTTTGTGAAAAAGAAATTAGAACATTATTCTAGAGTACCACAGAAATGTGTACCATGAAGTCATTGAGATGGGTCTTGAACTTAAAGGGTACCGGTACCAAACTGAGGCACCCCCCCCCCCCCCCCCCCCACACTTGCAACCCCGTTGGCCTAGAGTATTCAGAATAACTAGCAGGTCCAATCAATTGGAAGGCACTTATCGTCAGTGTATTTCGTTATCCGTATACTGGGCATTCGGGTACTTTCGATAAAACGTGAAAAGCGTTTTCTTTTCTTTTTAAATTAGTCTATTATGCGTTTTAGCCTCTTGATTTTTACAATTTATATTTAAAGTATCATGAATTATTAATGGAAAGTAAAATGGGAGAGGAAATTTTTTTGATTGTGCTTGGGTCAAATGCCTTAAGACCGGAGTTTTAAAATTGTGTTCCATACATGGATAGCGAACTGCAATGACGTTATGTTTCCAAACGATTTTGTCAGCCCGACAGACGTTTACTGGTGCCGTCTAATGGTTTTGCAATTTTAGCATAAAATCAACCAATGCAAAAGAGAAACCCTGAAGAAATGATAGATCCTTAACTGAAATTTCCCAAATACAGTACAATTTTGTGGACTGAAGTATTCGTTGCTAATTGGTAATAAATGGTATCATTATCTGATTGAAAGCAGCAAGGAGAATAAAAGTAACAAAAGTAATCAGGCAAGTTTATAGATTTTGTCTAAAACAATAGATCATGTTTTAAAGATGTGTTAACATTGCTTTTGAATAATCGTAAAGAAAGATGTGGTTGCATTTTAAACACGTGCAATATTGATAAGACTGAAAGTCTACATTGAAAAAATAATTAACATACTAAACATGTGTGCTTTTATCAGTTCTTCACGTTCCGATAAACCTTTGCTAAGACAAACTAGCACGGAGTTAAAGTGTTGAGACACCGTTGGAAACTTTTGTAAATAAAATTCCCGGCAGTCATTTTCAGATGCTGCAAGACGTAGGAATGCAAACAGAGCCAGTGGAGAGATCCTCAAATGCCATCCTTTCAAGTTTACAGTCGCAAAGCTCATGAATCAAATTATCTCTTTGAAATAATACGGCAGGCGAAAAATCGTGTCAAGTGCAGAAACTCCACAAAGAACGAACCCAAGGTGCTGAAAAACCAAACTCCTTTGAAAAGGAGAGAGGGAAAAAGGAATAATTTTGGAGTGCGATATGGTCGCTGGATTGGAAGAAATGGATCCATCCGCGACTCCCAAGATCCCTGGATACCCATAGCAACTGGTTAAAAACTTTTAGGCTTCCATCGACCCTTTATAGATCATGAAAGAGGTGGGCAGCGACCTGGTCTGCCAGAGTCAAAGGATACAGCGTTCTAGTATATATTTTGTTGGTGGGTGAGAGGAAGGGGGAGGGGGGGAGGGGTTAAGCAAGTGGCATGGTTTTCTCTGTTGCAGGATCTCCCTTAGGTACTTTTCCTTTTTCCTTTTTCCTTCCTCTGGTATCCTGAAGATGTCGAAGGGAGGTGCAAGTTTCGGTCCTGTGCTAGGTGTGTAGCGTCTGTAATTCCCCTAGGTATAATTCAGAAATTGGGAAGCTGTGGAGTCACTGTTACCACAATAAATGTTGTGCAATGTTGACTGCAACTGTTGATACTGGAAAAATAGAAGAACAGTTACGACCCCTGCATAAAAAAACAAACAAACAAATCCAAACCAAGCCAAATCATTAACAAAACAAACAGAAAACTACAACAAAATAAATTACAAAAACGAAACGAAAACAAGACA